GTTCATTTACTAAGTGAGGCATTATAAAAATAGTTGGTGTGATTGTGAGGATGTGTTAATCCTGGTGGCTTTCCTGCAATGACTGCTTTATGTGGGCTCTATGGTAGAATGTTTTATGGTTCAGGCAGGAGATTTATCCACATGCATATGCTAAAGACTCTTTGGAATTTTCCCACATAACAGAGCAAAGAGGTCCTAACTGAGAAACTATATGTATTCAAATGTTGCTGTAATTTGTCCTCCCCAAACAAATACCACCCAGCAAGGAGAGGCTTTTACAGCACCTAAGGAAGGAAAGAAATGCCAGGGAGCCCAAATAAAGACAGGGTTACCACTTATTTATTTATTTACACAACATATACCACCACCCCCTGCTTATAACAGAATAGCTCACAAAAGTAACTTTGTTCCCACAAAGGAAGTATGATCCTAAATAACACAATTCAAACAAAGAGAGACCAATAGTTTTCTGCCTTTTTCTAAAGGTTGAGGACTGAACCCCCTCAATGGCAGTTGCTTTCCAATGTTAAGATAACTGGGAGTTTTTATTAAAACATTGATGGGATGTGGATTGCACCTTTAATCTTGATATTTTGCTTTTCTCTCATTGCTTTGGTATTTTTCCCACTGATCTTTATTCAGGGACTCAAACCTTAAATGTTCAGCCTAGGATTGCCAGCTGTTTTTCTGGCAGGGCTCTTTAGACTTTCACAGGCCCCGGTCACATGGGAGGCTTTGATCCGTGAGAGGGACGGATCAGGGGCGCATCAAGCGAGCGTGATCACACCGCAACATCTGGGAAGCGGCGCGCACCCGTCCCCGATGCAGAAGATGCGGATCAAAACCCCCCCTACAAAACACTACTACTTACCTGAAAATCTGCAGCAGGGGCAGCCGTGTAATCGCCGGCATGCCCGTCTCTAGCAGCATGCGAGGCCCCCTGCCAAACTGCGCAGGCGCACACATGCGCAGCGGGCTCACCTGGGGCTCCCCCCCCCCCCGGCATCTGATCATGCTGGGGAGCAACTGCGCAGCGGCTCGTGGATCTGACTGATCCCACCGTCTCGTTTCTCTTTTGATGCGGCTCAAAAAAGCCGCACCTTTCCCCCCATTGTGACCGGGGCCACAGTTTAACAGCAGAAGTAATTTCAGCAGAGGAAGCTTTCCTCTATCATTTTGTCTGCACACCAGGAAAAGCTTCCCCTGCTAAATTTATGCTTGTCAAAAAGGCTCAGAAACGATGCAAAAGAGGTGAGGGTGACAACCTTATTCCAACTGCATATCTTTCTGTTTGAACAGCTAATTAAAAATTAATTTTAATTGGTTTTATATTGATTATTGAAACAAACTTTACCAATAGCTGAAGCAAAGTCACCGAGAAAAGCTTCATTAATGCATATGCCTTTTGAATGACTTTTCAAAGCATTGTCAACACTGTATAGTGGCAGTGTCATATACCAGGTTGTTTGGGTTTTTTTACCTTATCACTAACTAATGCTCAGAGAGCGAATATGGCAATCTGAAAAGAGGAGATAAACACAGGGGAAAAACCAATATAGGCTTGCATCCGTTTAAGGAGAGATAGGATCCAAATGGTCCACACCTTTGATTTGACCAATTTATAACTGAAGGTAGCAAGTCAAACACTACTTAACTGATAAAAGGCATAATATGAACCACTTAGGGCTGATTTAACTGTGATGCTTGCAGGCAGAAATACCCTTTCCTGTGTGATCTTGCACGTTCCCAACATGTTGTTTATGCTGCTGTGTTTCTAATGTTCCTACATACAGAATATTAGCATGCCACTGCGACCCCTGGATCTCTGGCATTACACATTTGCATGCAGAGCAGGTGAGAGCTTGATATAAATGAGATGTTGGATGCGTGATAGATCATATCGGTAAGTTCTTTTTGCCCAATAGTGTCATGTTTAGATCACATTTTAGCCTCCTGTTTTCTTTCAGGCTCAATGCCACCACCAATGAAACTACACTTCTACTTAGATATTTTAAACAATTTTATACAATTATTTGGATATTTTAAACACCATGATTCTGTAAAGAGGAAATCCATGCAAGAAAACAGAATAAATTCTCCATCCTTTAATGTTATCATTATAAGCAGCATCACTGTCCCATTTGTCTGTAAGTTTTTGCCCCCTCCCTGCCATTAACTGCTGCCACAATGCTGGGAAGAGCAACAAGAGACTCCCCTCTGAGCTGATGATAGTGTCACTCCATCTTCAACTAGCAGGGGGTGGTACAACAGCAATTTGGTCAGCATCCATTCTTTTGCACACAATGCTTATCAATCATGTTTCTTGACATATTTGGGTCTCCAGGGGGCTGGATATTTGATGGAATTTCTGGGCCTGTGGGCTAGAGGTAGTAACACAGAGCTTGGTTTGCATGAAACTGAGAAACCACTATACATAACTACATTATGGGCTTTATGTGTAGCATTGTGACCTTGTTTCAAGAAGAGAAGAAAGACGTCATTTCCTTGATTATGTTCTTATTTTCTTGTCCTTTTTCTACTCCTCTGTGAGATGCAAAAGGACCCAGGCAAAATTGATAACACTGAATTTTCCTCACTCAACACACGCATGCATTCTCTCATTATAACACTAAATTTTCCTCACTCACTCAACACACGCATGCATTCTCTCATACACAGCCATTTATTGCTTGTGCGTTTTATTTCTGACATTTTTGAGACAATTCAGTAGGAACAGAAGCAAAGCCTAACAGGCAGACACATCATTCCCATTTTCTATTGGAGGAATACCCCTGTAGAGCTTATTTCCCCATTTCTAACCCCTGCACTCATCACTAGAAGGAAGATGTTCATTTGTACTGCTCTGAAACTGCAAGTTTAATAAAACTCAACTCTTCTGCGTCTGTTGGTAGATACGGGCTGTTCAAATGTTGGCTTAAAAAGCAGGCAAGTTGATGTTCTTACTCCTCTCCTTTCATGTCAGCTGCTCTGGGATCCTAATCTCTAAAGGGTGATCAAGATTATTGACTGTGTTACTGGGAGTGAGGGAATAGGTGCTGTTAAATGAGTCAAAGAACTAAATCTTTCTCCAGGAATTTGACTGAGAACCGTAAGTTAGAAATGACATTTTTCTGATCTGGCTTGTTCATACTGAGAACCGTGTACACCATGGTGAGCTCCTTGGAGGATACAGAACAGAAAGACATCAAATTGTAGTCTAACAAATACGGAACAAAGTTTGAATCCAATGGCACCTCTAAGACCAACAAAGTTTTATTCAAGTTATAAGATTTTGCGTGCACGCATACTTCTTCAGATACAAACGAAATCTTATGCCCCGAATAAAAGTTTGTTGGTCTTAAAGGTGCCACTGGACTCAAACTTTGTTCTGCTTCTTCAGACCAACACGGCTACCCATCTGAATCTAACAGATACAGTAACTAGATCATCCCTGGAGAAAATGCCTGAGCCTTTAAGACAGAATATTATCGGGTACAGGTTTCCCTTCATTGTGCTGGGCCATACTTTTTCTACAAGTACAGAGGTTCTTGGAGAAGAGAGCCACAGAATTCAGTATGGGAACAGGATTTGAGCAAAGGCCTAGTAGATAATGAGGCTCCATGTTATTATTTATTTAAATGTAGCCCATACAGTTAGCTGAATCTCTTCTGGTTCCATTTCTTACCAGAACTCAGTTTTCAGCAATTTTGTTCAGATAAGGCGTTTTCTGATAAAAGTATCAATAACAATATGGCCAAGAAACCGTTTTTTAAAAAGTTAGAAAGTAATACATTAATGAGGAAGCAATCTGAGGCCTTCTCACAAGCAAATCCCATGTTATTCAGTAGGCCTTACTCCCAGGTAAGTGTCCTTAGGACTGCAGCCATAGTTTAGCACATCACTGCAAAAAGTGCCTTACACTATGAAAAAGTTTGCTGAATGCTTTTATTTTTTAATATTATTTATTTTATTTATTAAGATTTATACCCCGCCCTCCCCGCAGAGCGGGCTCAGGGTGGCTTACAAGGGGCAAAGCCCATATAAAACAGATAAAAGCAATAAAACAATCATGACAGTTAATAAAATTATACTCAGTTTAACAAGATGGTTTTGTAAGTTTTATATTTTTTCCTTTGTATTGTGTTTTTCTTTTGCATAACTGAATCACATTTCAAAATCTTAAAACATTATATTGAACACAGACGTAAAATAGATTTTTTTCTGATAAAATATCCTGTCCCAAAACTGTATTGCACAAATACAAATAATACTTTATTATAAGTGTCATTAATTTTAAGTGTGCTATACGGAAAGAACTAGGATTATAACAAATTTGGATACTTGGAACCAAACTCGAACTCTCTCCTTACCTGTCCCTTCTGTTGCTGTCTTGTGCCACGGGATGAAGACTTATTTTGTTTCATCTGCCATTTTTTTCAGTGGTCTCTCTTTCCTGCCTTTTGTTTTAACTGGTCTTTTTATATGTGTGTATTTTAGCTTGTTTTAGTGTTTTAATTATGTGTTTTTGTTTGGTTTTAATGGCTTTTAAAATGTCTTTTTATTATGTTTTTAATCTGTTAGCTGCTGTGGTGGGCCTGATCAGGGCAGAAAGATAGGGTATAAATCTTGGAAATAAAATGAACAAATAAATACATTTATTGTATTCACAGGAGTATAAATGAAAACAAGTCACCTTTCAACTGATGGCAAACCTAAAACAGCTAAACAGCTTCAGAAAATGTTGTTCTAATCTCTGATGCTATTTATCATTCACTACTTGAAACAAGTGATGCTTTATTAATTCAGGTTCTAAGCGCAGTCATTGCTATTTTAGCCTGTGCTACTCCACAAAGAATTATTCTTCAGCATACTGATGATTTTTAAATTAATACTTTTTCATGTTAATATTAGTAAGAAATGCAAGAGTCAGTATGTAGTGAAATATCTTTAACTGATAGGTTCTTTTCACCAGTTCACAATTTTCTAATAAATTTTCCTCTTTAAGGCTCCTCCACAATCACGTTATGTCGCAGCTGAGGTGTGTTGGGATTATGTTCAATTAGCCAATCAGCCAGCCAAGTCTAAAGAATAAAAATAAAAACATAAACAAGTTATATCTAATTTCATTTACATATGAACGTAACTTTTACTAGTATACAGCATTCAAAGTCTTCATTCCTACATATGAAAAACACCGAGAAAGTACCTATTTACAGACTTCTCTTTAATAATTTTAGTGTCCTCAACTATTTTAATGGAAAATTGTTCCTAAAACACCCAATAGTGCAATAGTAAACAGTTACACCCTTCTAAACCCACTAATTTAAATGATCTCAGAAGGGTATAATTCTGCTTAGAATTGCACTGCAAGTGTGCTTTATAATGATTCACACCTTTGATTTTCAAAATATGTCTGTTTGTCTGAGAAGGTGATGGGGAAGGAGACAATCAGTCTAGACTACTACTGATACACAAAGGTTAATTGATTAAAGGTATTTTGGCTTGACAGAGGCTAAACTTAATATGTAAATAGAGGCATATTGCTCTTATCATCTGTCATTTTCCTTCAAATTTCCATCCCCTATACAATAACAGCTGTTTTTCACAGGCAACCAGACTAGACTCGCATCCAAGAACCAGCCCAGTGTTATCAAGTGTGCCCTCACATTAACAGTAGAACCCTATTGATGAATACTGTCAGTCATTGTAATACATACAAAAGGATCTGCTGGTTTCTTCTTACACAGTGCTGTAAGTCCTTTTAGCAGCGTCGGAGTGACATAGCGGGTTAGGTAATCCTTAGCAGCTTGTCCAACTGGGATTGGTTCAATAACCACTGGAAAATAATTAAACATATATTTATTTTCAAACTATTCAGACAAATAAATTGCCTTCTAATGCTTTATTCTTTGTTTCCTTATACTTAAGGGCAGTTAATTTAGATTTGGTCAGGGGCCCATGTACCTTTAGGACTGTCTACTCCGTTATGTCCCCAGAAGAGCACTCTGATTGGCAGAGAATAATTTGCTGGTGATCCCTGGCCCCAACCTGGTGGAACTCTCTGGCAAATAATATCAGGCCTTATGGGATTTAATGCAATTCTACAGGGCCTGTAAGACAGAGATGTTCCACCAGGCTTGTGGTTGAAGTACTGATGGTATGACCATCACTGACACCCTCCCTCTTTCTCCTGGTTTCATCTGTCTCCCTCCTCCTGCCCTGCCCATGGGGTGGCAGTGCAGTCCAGTATGGGAATACGATTTAGTAGGACACCATCTTTGATTTTAGGTTTTTAATTACATGCTCAACTGTATATTAGATTGTTGTATGATTTTATCTATTGTTTTATTACTGATGTATATTGCCCAGAGCCCTGTTTTTACAAGGATGGGGCGATTCATAAATTAAATTAATTATCATCATCATCATCATCATCTTTCTTTGTTTCAGAGATACAGAGTACTGTAGAGAAATATGCTGAGTGGCTCCTAATTTCACTTTGGTGAGTTAATCTATGTGGAATTAATCGTCTCTAGAATTATCACATAGTGAAAAGCTTTCAGACACAAATAATCTCTAAGTTATCTTGCTACATTTGAAACCAGATCTAATTAATCAACAGGCTAATGAGCAACTAAGGGCTTACCCTTTTCAGAGGATCAGTTTATAGTAGGGTTTGTTGCCGGTATAAAAAAATCTTAATTTATCATATAGGCTGTAGTCAAATATACAAAGATTTGAATATGAGAAAAACAACAGTTTTAACAACACAGTGTCCTTTTTATGTTTTTATATTATGCACACATGCTACAGCAGACGTCATTACGAAAGAAGCCTACTCTTCTTTGCGCAGGTACCAGGTATCTTTCCTCAGAAATATCTCTTTTTTCACAGAGTAAGACTAAGAGTAGCTATCAGGTCTAACATTATCTTTCCTTATCATGTATAGAATGTTATGCCTAAATCTGAAGATAAATATGTTATTTTGATGTTTCCTTGATTTTACAGTTCAAATCCTCAGTGGGGTCTGAGATATCCAAATTAATAAATACATTATTTTCTGGTTCAGATGTCATGTTCTGTACATGGCAGGAGACAAGGCAGGTGTGCACATGCTTAAGCCCAGGACTCAGTCCTGACCTATAGAAGTTTTGGGTAGGAACTCCAATTTAAACAAGCCTGAGTGCTTTTATGTTGATATTTCACTTTGAACATAAAGAACAATGCTTTCGAGGAAATATGTTTCTTTCCCTCACTTCACTGCTGACTGCAAAAGTAAATCATGGGCATGTATTGAACAGGGTTCATCAGGAGTGATAAGAAACACAACTGCCTCCTCAACCACTCAAATAAGCCTTGCCTTCTTGTGTAACTAAAAAACCCCACCTGATTACTCAAAAATTATACCATCAGCGGCTATGTGGTCACACACTGTGCCTCTGGGAAACTAGTTTTGTTTTATTTTTTTTAATTAATTTATTTATAGTCTGTCTTTTTCACTTAGATTCAAGGCATATGACACAATGTGTCAATGCAACCAATGTGACATATGATAAACAATGGAATTGGACTAGGATTACATAAATTTGAAGTCAAGGTTACCTTTTTGGCATACTGTGTTGCCATTTCACAAACCTTTATTTGGACTTGGTGACTATCCTATTGTTCAAACCAGTGCTGGACATTCATCTAGCATGGTTGCCAGACAGACAAGCAAAATCTGCAGACAATAGCATAGCTATCATTGAGGTAGCAAGGCTTCCTCTCATTCCACAATACAATATGGGGAAATGAGACATTACTCTATTGGCACTAGACCCTAGATTTTAACCACATGGATAAAATCTGGGTATTTTTATCATCTGCAAAGGTTAACAGAAAAAACAGAGCAGATTTTTAGCATACTGTTGATACACAGCTAAACTGATTTGGTGTGATCTCATGAGGACTTATATCAAAAGGAAAGCTTAACATACAACATATGCATTATATGAAAAAAAAAATCTCCAGGGGACTGGCTAGTGCCAGCTACATTAAACGACTTGTGCCACCACTTGAGGCAAGTTTGAACATGGCCTGAATTATAAATATGTCAAATACACATAACCTCTATGCTTACAGAATCTAGGAAGCAAAGATATTTAACGGAAAGGACTTATTCAAACGAAATTGTAAGGAAATGGATATAACTCTAAAGTCACCTACAGAAAATAGCCACACTGCCCTTAAATTTAAAGCAGCTCCATGCATAATGTTTTACACTTCGATAGAGCATTACACTTCCATGTGATCCTCCATCTGCAAGTGAACGTGACTATCTTTAATCTTCATAATCTAAGGCACCAAAAGTTTGCGCAACAGTGACACACAAATGATTTTCTTCATGTTGTAAACCATTTCATGAGCAGCACACACATCTAAAGATAATAAATAAATAGTGCATTTAATTAATTAATTAATTCATTCATTCAATAAACCTGATAGAGACTAATGTAACAGCAATCCTTGAATTAATTACACCAGCCTGTGTTTGCCCCACTTTTTGTGGTAGTTTCATAAAAAAGGGGGGAATATCATTTGGTTCTTTAAGTAAATTATGATCCACAGTGCTTCAGGCAGGGTGTTGTAAAAAAGCCTAGATATAAAATTGACTACATCTGAAAGGAGAGGGAAATAGCGGTTATCAGAGAAATGTACATTCTAGACAGACATTTCATACCTTCGGGAAACATGAACCGGATTTCCCTTTCAGCTGCGGAAAAGCTAGAACTGCCATGAAGTGCATTCCTCAGGTCATCTGTCCCATAGATCGCTCTTAAACTAATGCAGTAGAGATATGTGTTATCATATTTAGTCACAAATGCAGCAATTAACCTCAATTAACTTGTTTGGTATTTGATTCTGAATAGTATATCAAAGGGACAGGCAACATATGGCCACACTGCTCTGTCCCAAACCTTTCCAAAAGAAGAATTCTCTCCCTTCTCCAAGAACAACCAGCCTGTAAGCAAGTCCTATATGGCAGAAATAGTACAGGCAGAGGGAAACAGCTGAAGCACATTTCATAGCCCTTAATTTGTAATCTATTTAAATCTTGTTAGATGAAAATGTAAAAAAGGTAAAGGTTCCCTTGCTCGAAACCCAGTCGAGTCCGATTCTAGGGTTGCGATGCTCATCTCCGTTTCAAAGCTGAAGAGCCAGCGCTGTCCGAAGACAATGTAAAGACAATGTAAAATGTAAAGGCTCTTTATAAATTATTTCTAACTGCTCTCTCAGCCTTTTCCCCAAATTTCACTATAAAGGTTGCCACACTGAAATCATTACTGCCATTAACTTCAGTTATAACTGTTTCATAGTAGGGTGTTCGTTTGTTTTTTTTTTAAATATTGTGAACATAGTACGTTACCTATCAGGGTAGTTTTCCTTAGCTATTATGGTATTTGCTGGTCCAAGCAGCTCCTTCCAGTATGAGATAGCACAATGACGAGCAAGAACCATTGCAATTAAAGGCCCAGAACTCATATATGCTGTTAAGTTAGGAAAAAACATTTTCCCATACTGTTCTACGTAGAAATTGCTACACTGCTCAGGACTTAGTTGGATCTTTCGTTTCTACAAAAGAAAAAGACAGAAAAAAATCCTCTTCAGTCCATTGTTCTAAGGTTGTCAAATACTAAAATTTGCACAGACATATGGTATTACATAACCAGTGTAAATGCTCGTACAACAAAAATGGCATTCTGCTGGATACAGTGGGCAGTATCCTACTATCCATGTTCAGAAGGCAAACTGAGTTTTCCCACATATCTTTCTTTTCTGTTAGTTCTTTTCAACCCCCACAATGATCATTGCTGGGGTTTCAGGACGCATGCAGAGGGACAGCTGTGAGGGTGGGGGGGGGAGACAAGGAGGGACAAGGAGCTGTACAGTGGAAGAGGAAAGAGGAGTGATTTCCTTGTCCTCCTTGCTTCAGTTCCCCTCCCCTAACCTGTATGACTATTTTGTGTGGCCCCACAACCCTCAAACACAGCTGAACAAGGCATTCCATACATGAAGTGCTAGGATACTGCCCAGTAAATGCCACTGTCCATTCTTTAAAACAAAATTAACAATAGCAAAATGACACTGTGGAATTCATGTTTTAGAGCTATGGCTACTTTGGATAGGAAAAGTCAGGGTCTTTTGAACAATCTCAGCCACCCTAAGCCAGCCTTGGCTGGGAGGGCAGGCTATAAACGTGAAGAATAAACAAATAAACAAACAAATAAATCTGAAAACTACAACAATTCAGTTCATGCTTTAAGTTCTCCACTAGATGTATTTACTACCATCTTTCTATAAAAGGTTCTTCTTCCTGGAAAGGGCTGTTGTGCAGACATGGCGAGTTACTGATCAATGGTCTCTACCTAGAATTTAGTAGGAGTGTGTGCACATGAAAGCTTGTACCCAGAATTAAACTTTGTTGGTGTGCCACTGGACTCAGACTTTGTTCTACAGTTGACACAGACATCTCTGTGAGGGGACCCCCACAGCCCTAATGAGGGTGGAACTTAGTTTGCCATCAGTTAGGGCACATGTCCATCTTGCTTTACTTAAATTCTGGAGTAAAGGCAACATCGCTACCATTAACACTCTCAGCAACCAGTGTTTTCAGTTAATGTCACGTAATAGCACATTTTGGTCTGCATGCTACAACAACATACTTACTCATTATTCTATCCCAGATGATCTGTTGGGGGCTTTGAATAATGGCCCTAATTTACGAAACTAGGTTTATAGATGTGATGCTTTACTGGACAGTTTTACAGTCTCTAAATCCAAATTTTCTCCTTGGTTTAAACGAATTAAAAGAGATCATGTTAGATCTTATTTGACAAATATCTCATCTCAAAACCTTAGAAAGGCATTCACTTCTGTACGTTTTCAAATGTATAGAATCAGACCTATATGTGGATAAACTTGTCTGGAGGTAGGGAGATTAATGCCATCAATAAACAGATGGCATCAAACTCTATCTCTTGTCTTGGTCTCACATCACAGGGAGGGGGGGACCAGAGAGAAATTACAGTCCTTCCATAAGTTTACTTTACCATGATCTTGATCTTTGATTATTACTTCCTTATAAAATAGGCGTCTTTATATTACCATTTTCTTCCAGTGGAATACATATGTTGAAAGGGGCAATTTCTGAGAACAAAAAGATATGCTTGCTTGCACGGAGTCACATTTTTAAGAGGGCCACCGCTGTACAATAGTGTCATCTAGTGGTCAGCTACAACATTTTGTTCATTATTGATGCAGTGGGTTTAGTTCTCCAGAAATGAATTGGCATGTTTACAGAAGCAGATCTCTGTTCTAGCAACAATTAGCCAACATATTAAGAGTGTTTTTATGATGGCAAGCAACTGATGCTTTATAATGAGTCCTAACTGATGTTAACATTTCAGTTTTTATTTTTAGTACTGCTCAAGGGGAAAGTTATTTTTACTCAATCAAAAAATGTTGTACAGCACTCTTTGGGAAAGTTTTTTTTTAACACAACTGGCAGACCATACCTATAAATTTAGCATTCTCTTTTTGTTTGCAATTCAATGCCTTGAGCATCAATAAAAGAATGTGACCATTCAGATTGTAAAGATTCCAGAACTATTCTGCTTGCAAAAACAAACTGAAAGTCGGGGGTTATAAAAGCTGTTGAGACAGGAAAGCAAGTTGAAATGAAACCATATTTATTCTGAAGCAAAGCCTCTTGAATGCTATGATTTATTAGTTGCAAAGATACTTCAGATTGTATCTGAGTATTCAAAACTTTATTTTCACATTACCTGTACAATAGTGAATCCTGATCTGAGAATGATATCTTCTATTTCATCTTCTTTGTGGATGATATCTGGCTTAATGATTGCCAGGGTTCTTTCAACATAAATCTGAGGTGGGGGCATTAACGTCTGCATTTTTTCTTAAAAGATTCAAATCAAAGTCTTATTTTCCTGAAATAAATTTTTATGCCCGTTATGTTTACATAACATTTAGGGGAAAGGATGCTAATTTTCTTAGTTATTCTAATATTACATCATGCTGGCCAATCTGTATGAACACATAACCCAAAGCAATGCATGTTTACTCAGAAGTAAATCCTACTGAATTTAATGACACCGTGCAATCCTATGCAGAGGTACTCTAGTCTAATTTCAGTAATTTCATTTTATTAGTGTATTCTGATATTTAAACGTTACTTTTCTGCCCAGTATGGAAAACAGGTTACAATATCATTCTCTCCTCTTTATTTTATCTCTGCAACAACAATCTTGTGATGTGGCTTAGGACAACAGAGAGAATGACTAGCCCAAAATCACCCAAAGAACTTCTGCAGCAGAATGGGGATTCACACTTGGGTCTCCCAGACTTAGGTCTAATACTAACCAATGTTCCCTCTAAGCTGAGTTAGTGTGAGCTAGCTCACACTAACTCAGCTTAGAGGGAACACTGATACTAACCAGTACACCCTGTGCTTACACTGGAGTAAATCTGGACAGGAGGTTATCATTTGCTCTCTAGTTAGTGTTTCTCAGACTGCACTCTTAACTAAGCCACAGTTGTTCTCCAACAGGTAGAAACCAACCGGTGATCCCTGTCTTCTCACAGAACTTGTAAAAAGTGTCCCCTGTTGCTTTCTGTCTTGAGACACAGACCCTCTGTCCACAGGTGGCTGTTGTTCAGCACAATTCTATATGCGTTCTCTAGAAAGTTCTATTGTGTTTGCCAGGGGCTTTATTCCTTAGCGTCCACAGGTCTTGCCCACAGGGGTGGATTAGCTATTTACTTTTGCTGGGGAAAATCCTGGTGGGCTGCCTGTTTAAGAGCCCACTCCCCTTGATGAGGCTGGGAAGGAGATGCCCTGCTTCACCCTGTGCTAGCTGGGTGCAGTAGGGCTGATGAGGAGATACATGGTAGTACCCAGTTTACCCCTGTGCTGGCCCACGTGTGTTTCGAGTTTTCAACTCCAGGTTGGAGAATTCCCGGGGAGGGTGGGGAAGAGAGGGAGCTCGTGGCCATTCCATTCCTGCAATTTCGCCTTTACTTCTTCTCTGGCTAGCTCTGCCCATTTTGAGAATGAGATTAGGGGTCGTTAGCAGCAGTAAACTGCCCTTCCTCCGTTCAGTTTGCCCCAGATACCAAGCTGGGCAACAGCTTGACCTCACTCCGTTAAAAAGTTTCCTGCTGTGCGGCAGTTTTCACAAGAAATGGGCTCCGCTTACCTGCTAATGCAGCCTTCTCAAAACCAACGCGGTTGCTAGGCGACCAGAGAAACCCGATCGAGGCCGGCCACCTACGGTAGCCAGGAAGGTCATTTTCAGGTTCGCCTAAAACAATCTTCCCTACGCTTCTCTCAGTCTTGATAGCAGAAAACGAAGTAGGGGAGTGGGCGATACTTTCGTCTTCTGCAGCCGCCGTATGTGGATGTGTTTGAGACGGCCATTTAAGTGCCTTGCCTGGTATCTCCAACCATCTTTTTGCTACCCCATTTCTATTGGAACCTGCTTATTTCCCTCATAATTGGCTGCTGGCTCTGAGGGGGGGGGAAAGCCCTGTCAAGTGTTTGCTGGGCAGGGGCGGGGGTGGAATGCAGCCCTGCTTTTTAAAAGAAAACTGTTAAAAGTTTTCATTACGCTTTGTGGGATGTAAAGGTAAAGGTTCCCTTGCTCGAAAGCCAGTCTAGTCCGACTCTAGGTGTTGCGGTGCTCATCTCCGTTTCAAAGCCGAAGAGCCAGCGCTGTCCGAAGACGTTTCCGTGATCATGTGGCCGGCATGACTAAACACCAAGGCGGACGGAACGCTGTTACCTTCCCACCGAAGTGGTACCTATTTATCTACTTGCAATCTCTTGCTTTTGAACTGCTAGGTTGGCAGGAGCTGGAACTAGAGATGGGAGCTCACTCCATCCTGCGGCACACTCGGGTCTCGAACTGCTGAACTACTGACCTTCCACAGCCTGCAGTTCAGGTCTTAACCACTTGAGCCACCGCAGCTCCTGTTTTTGTGTAATGTGCTACCCCTAAATTTTTATTCTGGATTCTGCACTGTAATGTAAACAGTATCCTATCACCATGATGAAGGAATAGAATCTTCTTAAATTATGGAATTTTTGTAATAGTCATAATTTTATAACAAGTATTATGATTATAGACATTTAGAAGTGAATGTAGTATCCTATAGAAAAGTGGAGGGGGAGCAGTCATAAGAGCAGCCTAAAGTACTGTGCTGTACATCCTGGGAGACACAACTTCAAATTTTGAGCCTAATATATGGTACTATTTCCCATGCAAGAACACTTGGTCAGAATAAATATTTTTAGTATGATTCATAAGTGCTCCATAATGAAAAAACAGGTGCTCCATAATGAAAAAAAAACTGTTTTTCAAGGGGGGGGGGGGTAGAATAACTGACCTGGTTCAGGCTAGCTCAGTCTCATCAGATCTCAGAAGCTAAGCAGGGTCAGCCCTGAGTATTACTTGGATGGGAGACCACCAAGGAAGTCCAGGGTTGTGACGCAGAGGCAAGCAATGGCAAACCACCTCTGATAGTCTCTTTCCTTGGAAACCCTACAGATTCACTATAAGATGGCTGTGACTTGATGGCCCTTTCCTTTACCACCAAAATAACTAATGAAAATCTGCCAGGCCAAATACCTTTATCTCTGGCACGATGGTGGTAGTATGGCACTTAAGTGCTGCATTAAGAAGCAGGGGATACTGAATGAAATCCCACTACTGGTAAATGCTGCCCAGCACTCCTCTTGTCCCAGTCACCATTGCTGTGTTTTGTATGGGTAAAAATAAATAGATATTGGTTTCCATTAAACAATCCTTATTTATTTATTTGTCTTTATAGCCCACCCATCCCACGAGCAGGCTCAGGGTGGGTAACATCATATAACAATACAATAAGTACAGTTGGGAGGCATGGCAATGCTGAGCCTAATGGTGGATGCCTAAACGAGAGGCTCTTGACCCTAAATACTAATTTCTTCCTTTATCCAACATCGAACTGCACCAATCCATGCCGTTTCTGCTGGCTTCAACTATGGGGAAGACTTCACACACCAAGAACAAGGAAGCAGTGACCCCTTCACAGTCGGTAAGAGCCTATTTCCTTCCTCCCAGTGAACAAACCGCGGGCCAGAGCCAAGGGAATGATCAGCTAGACAAAATGTCTGATCGGGCTTTGCTGCCACCTGAGGGAGGCCGTGCTGTCTCCTCCCAACAATTTTTTGAAACTATCCAAAGGCTGGAAGACAACATCAGCCAAAAACTCTCCACATCCCTAGCCCCAATAATGGAACAATTAGACTCCATGAAGGAGAGCCTGAACACAGTAACTCAGACATCAAACTGTGTTTGAACTCTCAGTGAAGGCACAAGAAGACATCAGGCACCTTCAGTCTTCAGAGGAATGGGCTAGGGGAAAATAATGAATCTAGAAAATAAACTTAAGGAGTGGAACCTGTAGAGGCTTACCAGAAAAAATAGAAGAGGGCTCAGATTTAAGATCCTTTTTTGTATCATGGCTGGCAAAGTCATTGGGCCTAGAAGAAGGAGTCGCTCCTGTAATAGATAAAGCATATAGACTAGACCCTCTATCCAAGCATAACACTGAGCTCCCGAGAGACATTGTTGTGGCCTTTCCAGACTCTAGAACCAGGGAAGCCATTCTTAAAAAATCAAGGTCAAAAGAAGGACTTACATTTCAAAGCAAGAAAATTCTGGTCTTGCTAGATCTCTCCATGGAGACACTTCAGCATAGGAAGGAACTGAAACCCATACTAAACAAGCTCCATGAGAACAATGTGAGATACAGCTGGATCTCTTCTTGTTGCATCTTAGTGCTCCACCAGAACCTTTGCTTGTAAGCGAATAGCCTGAAATCTGGCTACAATCTTTTGAAAGCTCTGCATATTGACTTCTCCATACCTCCATCACCATCTTCTGATCAGTTTAGAGATGCAGATGCTTCGCCCTCTTAAATGGTGTAAAGTGAAAATTTTTACCCTGCATTCTTAATTAGTCACTTTTTATATTTCTTTTTCTGTCTTAAGAAGGCACATGATGACAAAAAGCCTATCTTGAGGGTAAAGTGAGTTTTAACAGCATTACTTATAAAAATGGGGAGGGTTGGGTAGACTTTTTTTTTGCTCCTGGCTGTTGTAACACTTATTGGTCTCCCCAGTTTATGGTTATCTACTGACTCCGCACTGTGGTGCAGCTTTTGGGATTTTTACCTCCTTTGAGAGGTAGTTATTGTTACTCACTGTTGTTTTAATTGGTTAATTTATTTCGCTATTTACACCGCTGTAATATTATATAGTTCCATTCCACAACAGAAATGATGTTGCCAATTGTTCTTGACCTCTCTGTATGTTGCTCCTAAATATGGTTTGAATGTTATTTTTTACATTGTGCATTTTGATACAGGCAATGTTAGGCCTCTAAGCTGTGGAGTCTTGTGAGCAAAAATTTTATTTTGTGAGCTACTGCCATTAAAGTTGTGAGCGAGTTATTTGGCTACTGCATAAATTAGTTTGCTCTGGAGCCACCCTTTCTGAGCGGACAAAAATCTGTGAGCCGGAGGCTAAAAAACTGTGAGCTAGCTCACACTAACTCAGCTTAGAGGGAATATTGGCTATTGGTACTTACTTTACAGGTAATACTTTTAGAACTTGACTGGTTCAGTGACAATACTCCTCACTATATAGTTCTAAAAATGAAATCTGAATTTAAGAGTCATGATGCCTGTTAACATGAAAATTGTGTCACTCAATTGTAGAGGGCTGAATGATAGAATAAAAAATAAGAGAATAGCAACTTTTTTGGTTAAACTACACCCCGACATTCTGATACAACAAGAAACTCATTTAAAGAAACAGAACTCATTAGTCTTTAAATCAAATTGGTTT